GCACGATACACTGCACACATCGAGCACATTCGGTACGTATGTAACCGCGAAACCGCGAAACCGCGATAGTTTTGCGCTGCTGTATCATTGCGGCAATCATAGCACAAATTACGATGCTTCCTTTCTCTATCTAATCTCAAATATTTTTTGGTGTTCGATAAATTTTCAATATTAGAAAGTGGCTTTAATTGTTACAAAGGTTAGTGTTAAGATGTTGAACTACTATCCAATATACATTCAATTAAATTGAATTAATATTTCAGAATTAAGTGTAGTCTAAAGGCTCAGGACCCTCGCACGGAATGCAAGAGATCCGGGTTCGACTCCCGGCCGAGGCAATATTTTTCGCAATAAGTTTATTACAGTTTTTTAAGATTTGGGTGAATTTGGGGGGATTATCAGAATGATTGTGTGAATCCGATGATTTATCGGCTCTCAATTTAATTCTGAAATATTAATTCAATTTAATTGAATGTATATTGGATAGTAGTTCAACATCTTAACACTAGGACCGGGAAGGCGCTAGGTATTTAAAGTGTGGCTGTATGCTCTTTTTCATTTAACCTTTTTTGGTGTTCTTTCGTTTTCCTTTCGGGCTCTCCCAGGAAGTTTTGAAAAAACAACTTTTGTTCAGAACAAAACAGAGTTCGACGTATTGCATTAAGACGTTTTGCACGAAGAAAGAACATTTTTGCTGAATATCTAAAAATCTAGCTAGATACAGATCTGAAAATAATTTTATTGGACTTTATATATTTCTCAAGCGTATCGAACAATGTGTTGCAAAAAAAATTTGACATTCTAACAATCTAAGCATTCTACATAATTATTTTTTTATTGGGCTAACAAAATTATGTTCAGATCTGCACCCAATTAAATTTTCAGATACTTCAGAACTTTTCGTTTCATGAAGAAATCATACACGTGGACGTATATAAATTTTCTAACTTTACAAGAAGAGAAGTTCAACCTGTTAAAATGCGAAAGAATTTTATCTCGTACATGTACATATCTTTTCCGTTGTAATTATGATTTGTATTTAATTATCCTTTTGCAATTTTCGTTATGATCCGCGCCGGATTGGCGCGGAGCGCGTATCAGCTCTGTATCCGGTTCGGCAGCTGTTTAGCATAAGGGCAAATTGCTTAAGAAAATAATGATTCTTCTGCACCGCCGTCGTCTTTCGCCCCGTCTTTTGCGACCCGCGCCTCCTTCCATCATTATCCAGAGATGCGGCAGGTGGCGATGACGTTCTCGCGCTCGGCCATTCGGTTACCTGCCTCGAAAATGAGCGCGCGGTTTTACTCGCCGCGCAACGCCACGGGCGGCAGCATCACGTATGCATGTAACACACGTTACATGCTCGTCGCCGGGATCGCGAGTTGCACGTGTAACACGGGCGTTAGGGGAAGCTGACACGGAGGCTGTAGGGAGCAGGAGGAGATCCGCAATACAGAACAAGAAGCAAC